AGCCAAACAAACACCAATGCCAGGATGAGCCAGCGAGAGGGCCTGTTTCGGTGGCAGCCTGCACGCACGTCAGCATCAACCAGAACTGCCCTCACAGGCCAGAATTTCACAAATGCTTCCAGCCAGCTATTGCCAGCACCGCTGCCAAAAGTAACACAGCCTTGCCCTTCAGCCACACCAGCTGCTCATTCCGGGCCCCAGGCACCCCCTGTGCTGTGCTGGAGAAGATGTCTGGCACAAAACTGATTGATAAATGTAGATGGAGTTAAAAGCAGCTTTTCTTTGTTTTTTTTTCCCCTCCCAGGTTTGTATACCCCATCAGTAAGGCTTCTCAGAAGCCATGCTTCCACAGACCTACCAGATTGTAATTGTCTCCTAGAGGGAAACACCAAGGAAAAGAGGTGAGTTGAGGGCATTTTCCAGCCTTACCCTTGGCTGCAAGCCTGCCCACCGAAGGAGGTTAAGGCTTCACGTCCCGTGGCAGAGGTGTCAGAGCACACACAGAGTGCGCTCCAGCATCAGGACAGTGACTTCTAGAACCACACTGCTTTATTCAGCGGTGCTGGTGTGAGCGTACTCTCAAATGGAGAGGGACAATCTGAGATGTACGATGCGGGGAGCTAAATACGACAATAAATCTGCAAGAGCTTTGATGCCGATAGCAGCTTGGTAAGAAGATGCTGTAAGATAACACAAATAAACTATTCAAAACAGCTCTGTGTATCAAACACCTTACGCACGTATAAACGTTCCACAACTGTATCATATCTGACTACATTTCTTTTCAACAGATACATCTGGACTATATTAAATACTCCAAACGAGGGATCAGAGAAAGCAGTTTCTTGTTACTGTTCCATAAAAGCTACTTTTAATATGCATTGTAGAAATACCAGGCATTAAAAATCCATGAAGGATCATCAGTGATTGAAATGATCCACTGCTGGTTTGAGGTCTGAATTTCAGAGATTGCCTTGACATCTGCGGGGTCTCCGATGACTATTTTAGCGGTACTGAAAAGTTCTGTAGTTTTGCATACGGAACTTTGACCCACGCAGTTAACTAATACTCAACACTTTGACAGATTTCCTGCGGGGGGGGG